ATGTAAAATTTTAGTATATATTATTATGTAGAATTTTTCAATCAGAGCTAATTTACTTAAATAATAAATTGATTTTAACACTTTTTTTATGTTATTGCAATCAGTTTGCTTTAGTGAAAGTTATCCAATATTAATTTAATATCGATAAAATTTGATATTATAATACATGGTAATAATATTTAACTATATGTAAAATTTTAATATATATTATTATGTAGGATTTCCAATCGGAGCTAATTAACTTAAATAAAAATCATTTTTATGGTGTTTATTATATGTAATAAAATGAAAAATGATAGGCAAATGATCGGTAAAATGATTTGCAAAATGTGATAAAATTAAGCATGACTGCTATACTCTTAAGAAAAAAACTTCTTTCTTCTTTCTCCTTGTTCATTTTTTGCAAGAAACTGTTGCGAACGAAAAAAAATTGAAAACATAAGTTCTTCAAAGAAAAAGTCTTCTAGAAAAAGAAATAAAAACCTACTCGCTGATGTTACTGCTAAACTCCAATAACAATCTGACTTAGATAATAATTCTAAAGAAACTGAAAAACCTGAAAGTGATTCTGAATACTCTTCTCCACTTGGATCTCGTAAAATGCAACACATTGCTAATCTATCCAAAAAAATTGACTTTGAAGAATCTTCTACTTCTACTTTAATCCCCATTCTCTTTACTGAACCTGTCTCAACTCCTATTATTCCAATTAACAATGACACTAGTAACAAATCTATTGATGACTCCTAACATTCTCCTAACAACAGAGATAATTCTTACAAATCAAATAAAAATGACATGAATATAGACAACACAGATACCCTTCTCCTTATCACTGACAATAATACTTTTATTAAAGTTCCTAAACTTACTTGATACTCTGCTATTTCTCCTTTTGCCACAGTACCTAACAAATCTACTTGAAAAAAAATTGATAATCTCAATCAACATTTTTCATCTAATTAATCTTATGTAAGAGCTAAAACTTCTATTGTTTGTAGTTCTTGTGAACGCATTATTTCTATCTATTTTGATAACAAAGATAGCCTTGAAAATGCCATAAAAAACCCAATCATTTCACTCAATAACCTTATCTTTGATGCATTTTATCTTCAAAAAAAGGTCTTGATCTTTCTGAAAAATGACAAGCTGAAGCTAACTGTACTATTAAAGTCTCCAATATTCCTCTCATATCAAATCATACACTATTTCAAACGTTTTTTTCAAATATGGTACTATAAAGAGGATTGACCTTGGTCTCAATAGAAAATGGCAACATGCATACATTGTATTTAAAGATCCTGCAAGCATCGCATCATTTTATGATGACACCTGGTCTATCATGATTATCAATGATAGCATTCGTATTTCTCCTCTCAATCTTTCTGATCAACAACTAGTTGATAGATAACAATATTGCTTTAAATTATCTGGCTTTTCTTGTGACTCTTCTACACATGACTTTCTTCAAATCCTTACACAAATTAAAGTAAAAACTTGTGTTATTCCTAGAGACAGAAATTATAATCCAATCAATGTGACTTTTTTTAATTTCTCTAATAAAGATGACATCATTCAACTTGCCTATTCTCCTACTTTCAAGTTTCAAGGCTGTATTCTTTATTAGACAGATCCTGACTCCTTCGCATATTTTAATTGTGGTAACCTTAATCATGCTACTAAAGATTGTAATTTTAGACGTAATGACATCCGTAAAAATACTAAACTCCTAAATTTTCCTTTTTATATAATCATTTCAAACCTCAAGCATATCAACCCCTACTTCCCAAAACCCGTCTATCTTATTCTTTCAATTCATATGTTAAATAACAAAGTTTTGCAAACATTCTTTCTAACAACCATAATAATGAGTCTTCCAATTTTAACACACTACCTGATCCTTTATTCAATTATCCTCCTGAAAACAATTGATTTGATCATATTCAAACTTATCTTAGTCAATTGCTGAAGTAATTCTCCAACTTAACATTAAATTTAAACTTTTTGGTAACCAAATCAGTAATTATAATGATTGTTTTACCCTTATTGAATCTTCTATACTCAAACAACAAACCCCTTAACCCTAAAACCTGCTGATATTACTTACTTCCTCTTACTATCAACTATTGAAAACTAATATGGATCTCGATACTACAATTGAACCACCCTTTCCTATTGCTTGCAACCAACTTACTTCTCTTCAAGAACAATCCAATCTTTTTACACAACAACAGAAAGAATTCTATTCTACTCAATCATCTATTTTATTACAACTTAAAAATTTTGCTAGTAATTTTCTTCAAACAGATATTTCATCCTCTTCCTCCTCATTTATTTTCTCACCTAACGACACTAATCCTCCACATAAATTTTAAATGAATATAGATCATAATAATATTGAGAACATTAAAATGACTGACAATATTACAACTCCCTCATCCATTAATAAATTAAATATAACAACACATAATATTCATTCTTTAATACAACCCCCTATACAATACTCACTTTTACAATATATGCAACTTTCTAACTTTAATATTTTTGGTATCTCTGAAACTTCCTTAACTTCTAAAGAAGCTAAATATTTCTCTTATCATAACAAATCTCTCTTCAAAGAATCTTTCAAATAATTTTTTCATTCAAATAATCAATGCCATTTGGGTTCAGGCGTCGGTCTTATTTTTTAATCAAATATAGCTAAAAATATTTTTAACCATAAAGGTTATTTTGGTAGAATTATGTGTGTAGATTTACACACCAAAGGCAAACAAATCTTACGTATAATATAAATTTATCTACATACAGATTATACCTATTCAATTGAATGGAAAAAAAATTTTAGAATTAATCAACCAAGCTCTTTCTAAATATTATCACATAATCTCATGGATAACTTTAATGTTTATCCTGAAAAACCCTTCCATATTCTTTACAATCTATACATAAATGAAAACTCTCTTTTCGAACTTCTCTTAAACAATTAAACCTTCATAATACTACAATCTCTGTCATGATATTTTCCTATCCAATCCTATGTTTACATTCTCCTCTCATAACTCTCAAAGTCAGATTGATTTTATTTTATTTCTTTCTCTCTTCTCAATTCTTTAATTCACTTAGATCATAAATCCACTGATATATATCAAAGTAATCATAAGCTAATACAACTAACTCTTTTTAATTATATTTCAATCACAAATCTCAAGCTAAACTCAGACAATAAAATGTTACTAAAATAATTTTCGATTATGATAGAACTTCTACTGATAATTGGAATGATTTTTATAAAAAAAACCAATAATCACACTCTCTCCTCTGATCTTAACAAGCTCATTTCTTCTTCTATAAATAACTTACAAGATTTAAATTATTATTGAGGTCTCATTCAATAACACATCAAATCTGCTGCATTCTCATCTATTTTTCATCACAAAAGCACTTCAGTACATAAATCCTTTCATCTTTATCATATACACAAAATCTATCTACATATTAAATGCTTAAACAAAATATTTAGAACCTTTTGTTATAAATGCATTCATGATAATAATTTTATCTCTAATGAAGATTGGCATCACTACCTTAACAAACTCACCTCAATAGCCAAATGTTATAATCATATAGCAAACTTATCATATTTTGTTTGGCATGATAACTATATGCTCATTAGATAATCTATTAAATTTCTCATCAAATTACATATTACAAAGGCTTCTTTAGAAGAAAAACAATATTCAAAAGAACAAATGATTAAGTATATTCGTTAACGTTACCTAAATTATCAATCTAATCAAAAATTTAGTTATTCATTCAGCCTTATATCGTCAAAAAAGAAAGATTATCTTAGATCATATTCTTATTACCCTTCCTGACTTATTTACCAGACTTTTAATTGAACCTGATACTGTTAAATCAGCCGCTATTAATCATTTTCAAAATTTAACAGTTCTAAATAGCTTTCACAAATTCAAAGTGATTCCAGAAGAATAGCAACATCAATATGCTCCTAAAGAAAATATTAATCCTTCCATTTATAATACTTTAATGAATCCTCTTTCTAAAAATGAATAGACTAACATCTTACACAATCTTCCTGATGGTAAAGCATCTAGTCCATTTGGAATTTCAAATAAAATGCTTAAACATCTAGGCAACAAAATGCATATAGCTCTCTAGCACTTTATTAATGCTTGTTTACATTTAAATGACATACCTTCAGTATGGCAAGAAGTAGACATTTATCCAATACCTAAACCTAAAGATTGGAAATATGAACTCAAAAATACCTGTTATATCATACTTTTAGATACAGTTCGTAAAGCACTTGTTAAAGCCATTAACTATAGACTCTCACATATCTTTGTCAATCACTCAATTCTTAAAGGTAACAACTTTGCTGGTCTTCCACATTTATCCACTTTTAAACCGATTCGTATTTTAGATAATATTATTATTCATAATGTTAAAGAACAAAACAAAGAACTTTAGCTTTATTTCCAAGATATATCTAAAGCATATGATTATGTTAATATTTACATGCTACATAAAGCTATACTCTGTCTACAACTCCCTCCTTTCTTTTTATACTTTCATTACTAATTTGTTCCTAAATCACAAAAACCGTATTTTTACTCACTATGGCTCTACAAATGACTATGATATATTAATCGGCATTGATCAAGGAGAAATTATTTCTCCACTTTTATGGTGTATCTACTATGATCCTTTAATGTGTGAACTACATTCTCTACATAATCTAGGTTATTCAATGTTTCACAGTTGGCATCCTAACCTCCATTCTCCTGATACAATCACACAATCTTTAGAAATCTCAAATATAGCATATATAGACGACATCACATTAATCTCAAACTTTCAAGAAAATTTAAATTCTCTTCTCAATATTACTGATAACTTTAATCATTTAAATAATATACTTACCAATAATGATAAAGGAATCCTAATAACTACCGCCAATCCATCCTATATTCAATATTCCATACCCTCTGATTCTAACTCCTTAACTTCTTATAAAGTGCTCCTTCAATACAACAACAAAACTGTCTTATTTCTTTTACTCCAAATACTGAATCTGTCAGATTTTTAGATGTCTAGCTCAATTTAAAATGCAAAAGATCTTTTGTATTCAATCAAATCAAAACTGAAATCACCACTGATTGTTCTATTATGAAATACAAACACCTAACTGATAACATTTTATTATATATTTTTAATATGGTTATAATTTCTCGCATCAAATATAGAGATCAATTAAACTTTCTTACAAAAAAGGAATGTTCTAACCTTTCTAACCCTTTTAAATTATTATTTAAACATAAATATCATCTTCCTTCAAACACACCCAATTCTGTTTTATTCAACAATTTTCTTTACAAATTTTGTGATCTCTATGAAGATCAACTCCAATCTATGACTACCAATCTTTCTGTTCAATTAAATAATAAAGCTATTATGAATCTAACTACTACCATCAGACTTAAAGAAATTCAAACCCGTTATTGGTTATCTGACTCTCCTTTTCTTTTTTGGCTATTTATCACTACTACACGAATTAATGATCATATATCAAATACTCTTTCTATGATTAAAGAATTTAAACTTTCATTCAATGTTGCATCACACCTTCATAACCACATTCTCGGTGGAATTACATCTATCACTATCTTATGTGCTCACTTTCTCCTTTCTCGAGATATTCATTTATTATGCAAATCTTCAGTAATGTATTTAGAATAACTCATAAGTCCTTGTGGACAATATTTAATTTCATCAGCAGACTGCTGGCTTTTATATTATAGTATTCGTTCAAATATACCTAGATGATTTAAGAAACTAGAATGTTTTGTTCTTTCTAATCCTACTATTTCATGAAGATTAAAACCTCAATTCTATTATAAAGGTCATATACTTCTTCATCATAATATTACTTTTCACCTTTTAAACTGGATAACAAATCACCCAAATAGATCGCTGTTTGGAATAATAACTACCAACAAATTATATATGGTCAAATTATAGCTATTTTTAACCACTATACTATAATTCAACATTGAATCAATAACTTTTCTTTTTAATCATTAACAATTTCACCTTCTAATTTACAAAATATTATCATTTAATGTCAAGGATATTCACTACATGAAACATACTATTTACAGCCTTTTTTTCATTTTCTTAAACGTATTTTCTTTATCCCTATTTGCACAAATAGATATTATTTTGACACTCTTATTTCTCTCCTCAAAACCATTAAAGATAGCCACCCAGATTTTTATAATATAAACTGTTTCACATTCCTTATCAAAGACTAAACTAAGCTTCATTATGAATTTTTAAACATATCACACATCTTTATCTTTTGATTTTACACTCTTTTCCTCAATATATTATAATATCTTCTCTATTCTCCAAGTATATAAAATCTGGTATACAATTTGATATATTACTACATACTTATAATTTACTCTGACACAAGTCCAACCTTATTTTCTATACCAATGGTTCTTTTCTTTCTCTCTCTTCTTTATAACCTATAAGTATCACTTGGCTATTAAAAGATGATCCTATTAATCTCTTTTCAATCTTTATTTATCTCACCATAGCCTTCTTTTAATCGAGCTGAACTGATTGCTATCATTTGTGCACTTATATCCTCTCTTCCTTCATCAACAATCACTATCTATACAGATAGTTTTATCGCTATTTATCACATTCTCTCTAATAATTTACTTTATATCCTTTAGACTCATACCATATTCATCTGATATGATACTTCATATTTATTAATACAAAGAATTGCCACATCTGCTGGTCGCATAATTAACATTATTATTTATTCAACCAGATCTTTTTTAGAAGGTGATAAAGAGAAATCACATTTCTCGAGTCTTTTCTAAACCAGTTTTAAGAAGAAATATTCAGGCCAATTGACACCTTCAAATTTATCAAGTACAAGTCATCGTACCTGAATTTCATTTGATTTAGTAGTAATATGAGGAATTTTAGTTGCTTCTTTTTTAAGATGATCAGCTTCACAATCCTGTAACTTTTTTTGCAATAAAGTAAGCTGTGAAACTCTTGTGATTGGATTAGACGCAAAACTACCCAAATCATATGAAATTTGTTTTATTTTCTCAGATGAATAATCATTATCCACAATTTTTTGGGTAATTTTATCAATAGTATTCCTGTTTTCTTCATGCTTTCCAGTAGGTCGAATAGGAATGAGAACTTCTACTTGTTCCTTAGTAAGCTTAATTGTTGAAAATACATTTTAGTATTGAATCTTACCTTGTAATCATCCTTCAAACTTTTGTTAATTTTCTCTGTATATTTAGCTAGTTCAGATGATAGAGTTTCAGAGGTCCAGTTATGGTATTTCATAAAATCTGTAGCTACTTTTGCCATATTGTTTTTATGACACTATAATCAAGAATATTAAACATACTAATTTTATATTATGTATAAAAAAAGTTCAATTTGAAAATTTTTATTCTGACAATTCATTACACCATGATCAGTTGGCAAAAGGAATATTATAACTTATTGCAGGCTCTCTTTGATGCCATGAGTTCTGGCTGGGATATCTTTTATATATATTTGAAAATTGGCTGAAAGATGCTATGCATAATGGTAAATAGGATATGTGAAAAAAATAATAATAATTCAGAATTTTATATCACCTATTTGTAAAAAACAAAAAGACCCTCCTACTTAAATACCTTACTTATAAACTGGCTTCTTATTCACTCTTTATCAAAATGTATCATTCTTCTAAAGTATGCTTACTGTTTTTTCTTGTACCTCCTTCATCCTCAAGACCATGATGAATTATTTCTTCTCCTATTAATCTTTCTCATATCATCATATCTATATATTTATTAGAATCTTCTTCTACCTCTTTTGCATAATTACACATTCGTAAATCTATTTTATCATGGAATGCAATATAATTAAGCCTGTCATTTTTGGTGATAGTCACGAAAATGTCTGGATTCTCACCTAGTTCGATTGTCTTTTTCTGAAGTGCTTTTCTCGCTGGGTTCTGAACAGAAGTAAGGCAGATGATACTTGATTAATAAGCTTTAGAGAATCAGTTGGGATCTCTTTAGAAGGCATTATTTTTTTAGAAGGCATATTCACAGCTTCACTTATAGGCTTGAAATAGGGAAGCTTGCTAGTCTTAGATTTATCGATTACTGGCTCAGGTGTTTTAGAAGTCACAGATATACCAGATGTTGAGGCAATTAGAGTACAGGTATCTTCTGCTATATAGTCAAAAAGGTCTTGAGTTAAATTGCCCTGTTTATTTTTATTAATATTAGGTAAAAACGCGTTCTTTTCTAGATGAAGTGTGATTATTTTTGGGGAAATAGTTTCCAGTACATTAAATATGAGTATGTCTGCTATCTCATTTCAGGTAAGTCAGATTGAGATGTATCTTCAGAAAATTCTTCGATATCGCCTACTGTTTCACATATTTTAGCTACAATCTTGAAGCGGTCAAGAATATACTACTATTCTCTTTTTCTACCACTTGCCTCTTGCGTTCGATATTAATCTATGAGAATTTTTTACCAAGGATATTGTTAGAAAATGGCTTTTCATCATTCCCTCTACATCATTCAACATAGTTCTGGTATAATGGTATACAACTTGGCTTGGCTACTTGATTCTCACTCCATGAGAAAATTTAATTAATTATAAATCAAATGGGTTTATAAATCTCGTTTCGCATGATTTCTATTTTCATTTTAATTAATAGAATCTTACATGGCTTTTATCCTGAAAGATTAAGATTAAGCAAATATGTTATAAATGATCCTGGCATATCGGGTCTCAAGAATTCTCCCAAATTGATCAAAATATGTAAAATTACTTTTACAGCAGGAAGAAATATCTAAATATACAATACATCCATCTCTCATTCCTCTCGAATTGGGATATCATGATTACATAAAACCATGAATCCAGGGTAATAACCACACTCTTGAAATTCTAATCTCTTATATTAGTGTTCTGCAAAAAATCTGATTCAATCCGAATCTGATCCAGATCTGATAGATCAGATTGAATCAGATTTATCAGATTTGAATCAGATTCGGAACTGGATTTTGATTTGATTTAATCTGTCAGATCCAGATTTGATTCAAATTTGGATTTGATTCAATCTAATGGATTTGGATTTGGATTCAGATTCAGATTTAGATTCAGATCTGATTTGTTGAATTTGAAATAAAAAATGCTGCCCCGAAGTTAGACGTGCCATTTATAATTAAAAAAATTTAATTTTTAATAATAAAATACCGCCTGAAAGTCAGACACAGCATTTATTATTAAAAAATTAATCTTTATTAATTTTTAATAACAAAATGTTGTCTCAAAAGTCAGAGGCAACTTTTATTAATAAAAAATTAATAAAAATTAATTTTTAATAACAAAATGCCATCCCGAAAGTCAGAGATGGCATTTATTATTAAAAAAATATAATTTTAATAATAAAATGCTGTTTGAAAGTCAGACACAGCATAGCATTTATTATTAAAAATTTTAATTTTTATAATAAAATGCCGCCCGAAAGTTAGACATGGCATTTATTATTAAAAAATTAATTTTTATTAATTTTTAATAACAAAATGCCATCCCGAAAGACAGACATGACATTTAATAATAAAATGCCATTCTGAAAGTAGAACGCAGTATTTATTATTAAATAATCAATTTTATTAATTTTTTATATAAAAATGCCATCCCAAAAATCAGACGTGGCATTTATTAATAAAAAAATCAATTTTTATTAATTTTTTATATAAAAATACCACCCTGAAAGTTGAACGTGGCATTTATTATCAAGTGAATTAATGTTTAATAATAAAATTCTGCCCCAAAAATCAGATGCAGCATTTATTAATAAAAAAATCAATTTTTACTAATTTTTTATGTCCCAAAAGTCAGACGCAACATTTATTAATAAAAAAATCAATTTTTATTAATTTTTTATATAAAAATACCACCTCAAAAGTCAGACGCAGCATTTATTATTAAATAAATTAAGTAAATTAATGTTTAATAATAAAATTCTGCTCTGAAAGTCAGATGCGGCATTTATTAATAAAAAAATTAATTTTATTATTTTTTATATAAAAATGCCACCCCAAAAGTCGAACGCGACATTTATTAATAAAAAATCAATTTTTATTAAATTTTATATAAAAATGCCGCCCCAAAAGTCAGACTTATCAGATTCAGATACAGATTTGAATTCGGATTTGTCAGATTTGGATCGAATCAGATTCGAATTTTTCAGATCAGATTTTTCAAATTCAGATTTGTCAGATTCAGATACGGATTCAGATTCAGATTTGTTAGATTTGGATTAAATCAGATTCGAATTTTTCAGATTCAGATTTTTTGGATTCAGATCGAATCAGATTTTGCCCAAATCTGATTCAATCTGATCTGTGCAGGACACTATCTTATGCTCAATCAAGACGTAATCTTCTATAATAAGGAACTTTAGATGGTCATTTACTTTATGCATTTACCATTGGCCATTCCCACCTTATTTATAATTATAAGCTTGCATCCTTGAATAGCACTATTGAATTTTCCAAGAAATTTTCCAAGGTCAGAAGTTAAATATATGAATTCTAGACCAAATAAGCTTTTTCGAATGAAATCAGTAATAATATTTTTCCCACAACGTGATAGGAAATGTAATACAAAAATTGTTCTAGGAATTATGCTAGAATGCTAAATTAGGAATGTGGCTATTTCAGAATATATTCGGAAAGATTTTTTTCCCATTATATCAGATATTTTCAACATGCCAAATAATTGGATTTATTAGGTTGTAATTAATCTGGGAAGCTGGTTTGGTCTTGAAATCCAAAAAAAAATTGAAGAATTCAGTTTTTGGTAGAATGGCATTTGGGAGGTATGGTAGAAAATCAATATTTGCATAAGCAATCAAATGAGTATTGAATGCATTTTCTATTAAAGATTGTAATTTTATCACTTTCCCACCTAACTTGACAATATTAATGGTTAATTTATTGAGATCTAACTTGGATTCTATATTGAAGTATAATTCACTATCTGATTTTTTATGCTTGAGTATCCATGTTTTCATTTTCTTTTGAATGTAGGTGATCATTGCTTGAATTGCATTATACACTTCATTACGTGTAAATATTTTCTTAGAGGTACACATAAATATTAAATCCCATCATACGAAATAATCATTAGGGTCAGAAATTTTAGGCTGATCCTAATTTCCAGAATTAGAAGCTTTTTTTTCCTATCTAAAGCTGTCTCACTAATAGTGAGCTTTAATGAGGAATTTCTTGTTCCAGGATTTATTTCATGATTTGCACGGTAATATTTAAAGTTATATGATTTTTTATTTCATATAATATATGCATTATCACTAGTAGGCTCTTGATTATATAATAGGCAGTATAATAGAGAGTTGCGTATTAATGGAAATAAATCAGAGATATCATCTATAGGGAATGTAAGAGTGTATCCTTCGATGCCATTTTCTTTGAGTAATGATTCAACAAAGTTGAATTCAATCTAAATGGGTTCACTACATCCCTATAAGAAATTAAAATAAGGAAATGATACATTTTTTATAAGGTTTGTATACATAATTAATGATTCTATATCATGTTTTATAATGATTTATTTTTTTATAATTTTTAAAAAATTAATGTATACGGAATTATTAAGGAATTTAAAATAACGTATAAATTTTACGTAAATAAAAAAATAAAAAATAACAATATTCAAACCAAAAAAAAATTCTTTTCTTGTACTTTTTAATGTATAGATATCAAATTTAACTTGTGATAATTCTAAAGACTTATTACATCATTTTTGTCCAATAGATTAACTTACTTCATTATATTTATCGATCTATAAACAAGATTTATTAGTGAAATAAGCGTGATCCACTGGTCGAAATAGGTACAAATCAGCTAAAAATCAGACGGACAATTGATAGCTAATTGATAGCCAATTTAGGGTTAATTTACATTAATTCCGATTGACATAATATGAGTCAATCAGAAATATCAATCGATCATCAATCGCTATCAATCATCCATCAATCATCCGTCTGATTTTAGCCAAAAATTTATTACATTTATTTCATTTTACAATTTCAGAAAATAATATTTTTTTTATTAATTTTATTAATTTTATTCATTATGCGACAAGCAAATAGAAAATACTACTAAAAATAAGCAAATTACTAAAAAAAAAAAGAAGAAATCATCGTCATAATCGATAAATCGTCGTTGTCATTATCGTTATTTAATCACCTCCGATTTAAAACTAAAAAAAATAGCAAATAAGCAAAAAATAAATAAATTGTCCCACCCGCCTTCCCATTTATAAAAAAA